ATCAGAGACAAACGCAGCCTGCCACTTCAGCTGTGGCTTCAGATGAGGCAGAAACTGTGCTGTCAAGTTGCTAAGCCTGCTTCTCCTCTGCTCCTTTGAGAACCATCAAGTTGAGAATCACAACTACGTGGGAAGAGGGAGCATCAGACCCTGGGCCTCCTTTTCAATAAAAACACCTTCTTTCCACTACTCTTATCCATATCCAATGCTTCCAGCCACTTGGGTGGACAAACTCTCCAGAGAGGGCAATTGGGGATAGGACACTCCTTCCAGAAGCTCCTGACCAAAGCAGCACAAGAAAATTTTCTGTGCTCCTAGTAGAGGAGGGAGCCCAAATCGAGCCCCACAAAGGGTGGCCTGGAGCTGAAAAGGACACAATTGCACGATCACAAACACACCAGCCGAGAAGTCAGGGAGGGTCAGAGGAAGGTGATGTCCAGCATCTCTTAATAGGCACCTGGCAGAGCGAGGAAAACATTCAGCCTCATTCCTCCCAGTACTCACGTCTGTCACTTTCCTTCCATTCTAAAAGACAGACACATATGAAACAAACAAGCCCGCAAATCATGCCTAAGAGCCATATCATCTCAGATTCACATTTCCCAACAGGCTTTCTAGTTCTCCACAAATAATATCCTCGCGCACTCTGCTCCCCGCGCTAATAATTGGGGGAGGGGAGCTGAGCGATGTCTAGAGAGACTGGAGACATTCGATCAGAATTCAAGGCAGCTTCTCACAACTCTCTTGTTTATAGAAAATGAATGTCTGCCCGGCTTGCTTTTAGTTCTGGAAAGGGGTCAGTCTTTATCAGTACGGTTCACACAGATCCTGGATTTTTTTTTTCCCTTATCTTAAATTGACCCGCTTTTAAGATAAAGACATAATAGAGAAAGCATTGACCTTACCTGGTCCCTAATGAGTTGGAAGTCAGAAAACCCCGCTCTCATTTCCTCTTACCTCGAGTCGCCTGAGAAGAGACTCGCGCTACCTTTTGTGCACTCGCGCCTGGAGATAGCCCCTCACCGACGCGCACACGCCGCTGAGCGCGCTCGGGGAGCGGCCGGCCTCAGTCTGAGGATTCCTCCCTGGCGTCTCAAAACCCGAGACCTCGGTGCCAGCCCCACGCCTAACCCTGCCCCAGGAGGATTTAAAATCCTCCGAAGGCTCCCGAGCAAGTCTTCTCTTGTGTAAGACCAAGTCCTAAACAGTGGGAGGAAGATCTGCCCCCTGCGAGGCCCTTGGACTGGAGGGCGCGGGGCCTCCTCGGCCTCCAGGAGTAAGTGCCCCGAGCGTTTCTCGCGCGGTCGGCGGGGCCCGGGTCTGATTTCACTCGAGGGCCCCAAGCTACCTCCCTCAGGGCCAGCCCCTCTCCAGAGCCGCGGCCCGGCTGCTGCGCATTCCCTGCCCCCACCCGCCTCCCGGCCTTGAGGACTCCAGCTGTACCCACAAGTGTCTCTGTTGGGGGGCGGCGGCAGCCAGGTCTCCCTTCTTCCCTGCTCAGAGCATCTCTGGCCCTCTCTTCTCGCCTTTCCAGAACCCAGCCCAGTCCCCAGTCTGGCCGACTGAGAGGACTGCTTTCCTCCCTCTCCGACCCAGAGTTCCAAGTTCCCAGGCTGGGGCGGGGGTGGTGTGCCGCTTTGGGATGCTAAACATCAAACAAGCCAAGCCAGGGGTTTCAGGCCCCGAAGCCACTAGAGCCGCTCTCCAGGGCTCTCGAGAAAGTCCCCGTGTTTACTTGGCGGGGTGGGGGTGGGGGAGAGGAGGCAAGGGGGACGCTGTCTGCAAAATCTCCCCCACTCCCCGCAGCCGTCAGGGCTTGGGGATGGCTGGGGTGCATAGGCGGGGGCGCTCAGCTTCTATGGGATCTTGGGACGAACTGCGCTGCCCCCTCACCCCCCACGTGGGGAAGCTTCCGGCTCTTCCAGCACTTCGGGCCAGAGACATCCCCAGAAGGCTGATTTCTCCAGGCCTGAACCTAGGCCAGAGACGCTGGAGACGGAGGGGAGGTCTCCTTCAGGAGTAGGCGTCGCAAAGGCTCATCGAGATGTGGCCTGGGAATGTCCCCAGCCTGGGGTCTTTCGCTCCCGGCGCGCACACATTTCCCTATCAAAAAGCTTCAGCTTGCGTTCTAGGGCTGCTTCCTGAAGTTGCTACAATCTCCCCGGCCACAGCGGGAGCTGGTGGACCCCGCGTGACGGACGGAGAGAAGCAGCCAAGCCTCTGTCTCGGCCCCATCCTTAGACCCGGCTGAAATCACTCTCCCCACTCCCCACCCCCCACTTCGAACAAGTAAACAGACTTCAAACTAAGCCGGCCCTAGACGGCAGGGAGAAGATGTATAAAACTGCATCCAGTGCAAAGGTGTTAAGGCCGAGGGTACCACAACCCACTAAAATTGTGACTCTCACGCGCCCGCTCTTGGCTAGGAGTTGGGGGAGCAGCCGCCCTTGCCAGTGTCCTGCACCGCAAGGCTTGTGCTGGGCCTGGGGCATATGGAGTGGCAGCTCCCATCCCCCACGCAATTGGGACCTTAGAGCAAACATCTGGGCAAAGCTGCGGCCCGGCCTGGTCTGTGATTTGACCACCTATGCACCGTGTCCGGGACCACTGTTGCTCTTCCCAACAGAAGTGTTCAAACTTTACTGAATTTTGCTTGTTTTGCAAAATGTGAAGGCCTGCTGAGATTTTCCCCAACCAGCACACTCTGTAGACCCAACCAACTATCTTCGGATTCTCTGAGTCTCTTCTGGATATTGGAAACCAGACCTCAGCAGCCAGACCCAGGGGAGGAAGCTCACCCTGGCCCCACAGTCCTAAGGCATTCGGGGAGAGGAGCCCCCAGGAAGTTAACAAAGAATTCTGCTGGTCTGGAGCAAGGCCTTGGTCTCTGCAATTTCCCTCACAACTGGGATATGGGAAAACTCCGGTGAAAAGAGAAATGCAGACAGAATGAGATGAAAAGAAGAGAGGAAGAAAAGATGAAGAGAGGGAATAAAGGAAAAAGAAAGATGGAATTCTAGGCATGAAATGAGTTCATGCCAAGTATGAATCCCCACAAACACTTTCAGGCCAAGAGAGGCCCACCCGGCCACTTTGGCTGGGCAGGTTTATCAAGGGTGACACTGAAAGCGGCAATAGCTCATCTAGGGACTATGATTTCTCTCTGTCCACAATCACTCCTTCCTCCTTCCCTCCCTAGGGCAACCTAACAGTTCCCCAACAACCACACCAAAGAGACCAGGAAATTAGAAGTAGGGAGAAAGGTCAAAGATGATTATTTTGCTGCGGGGTGGGGGTGGTGATGGGGGGTGGGCAGCAAGAAGTAGAGAGTTGAGAACAGGAGAAAGATTCCTTACTACAAAGATATTTAGAGCCCAGAGATGGAAACTGGGAGAACAAAGAGGGAAAGCCCAGCTTCCAAAGTCCTGCCTTTGGTGTAGCCCAGTCAGAAACCTCCAAAGACCAGAAAGACCCTGAGAGGCTGGGGATCCATGTCTAACCCTGCATGGGGGATAGCTATTTTAGAACAGAACGGACACCCAGATAGACTTTCCCACTTTTGAAAATAGCCTCCCACCGAATTCCAACTCCAACCAGGCTCTACAGCAGATTAGAAACAAGGATTGGTGTTGAAATCTACAGGGACCATCCATTAAGTAAAAATGATCCCTCATTCAGGATTATTTAAAATGTATGCAATTGAAACATTTTAAAGTGTTAAACATTGCTTTAGCTGTTTAAGACCAGAGTAGACGCTTCTGAGATTTCAAAAAAACCAGAACCCTGGTGCTGAAAACGAGTCCTTTGGTCTCTTTCTCTTCCTTTCTTCCTTCCCATCCTGATGGAAGTATTTGGCTTTTTTCCTTTCTGATTGCCAAGTCCCAGGACTACTTACGGTTTGGTTCTGCTCAATCTGGAAACAGAACAAAACTCCATTTCCCTGTGGGACAAGGACTCTGGGCTCAGCTTTTTAGCTGGTTTAGGATCTTTTCAGCCCCCAAACAATTCCAACCCCATTAGGCCAATGATGAGCTGATCCCACCACCACCAAAAAAAAAAAAAAGCGCCTTTTAAAGCCAAATCAAAACCAAACAAAAGGTGGACTTTTAATCAGAAAAAGAATCCTTTTAATTTGTATAATTTATTAGAAGCTTCTTAGGAACTATATTTAAGCCAAATATCTACATAAGTTACAACAGAAAAAGACTGACGCTGCAAATACCAAACTGCCAAATAATATACACAGATTTGTCAATGCCCATAAAAAATATGATGGGCTGGGGACGGGGATTGGTTTTGTTTTTGTTTTTGTTTTTTACAACAAAATGTACAGATTACTAAAAACTAGGTGTGTAGTCCAACTTTTGACAGCGTTTTACAGCTACAAGTTCACATCAAACATAAAACAATTTTAGCCAGGGCTTTTCCCCGGGGCTGAGCCTGGGCGGCCAGAGGGCGCTGGGAGGGGGCATTTCCTTTGTGTCAATGACAAGTGGGTCCTGTCGAAGAGTCTTTCCTCTCCCCAGCCCCCATCTCCCCTTCAAAAGAAATCCGGGTATTTACAAGTGAGTCCGCCTTGCTGGCACAGCGTACCCAGAGTGAAGTTTGCAGATCTTTAGAGTCCAGAGCCGTGTCATCGTAAAGCCCTCTCCAAACTGCACCCTGCCTGAGCAAGTGAAACCGTTTCAGTCACCTAAAAGACACCCCCGAAAGCTGTTCTTGTTATGTCCTTCTCTTTTTAAAGACTCCTTAAAGAACTGGATTCACTTGGATGTTTTTATTTTCTTTAAAAAAAATCCCACAAATTTTAGAAAACAAACAACAACAACAAAAAAGACGTCCAGCAGTTTGGCTTTTGTGGTTTTTTTCCCTTGGTCTAAACGGGGCAGATTCTTAAGAAAAGTCGAAGCGCAGGGAGCGGCGGGTAGTTGGTGATGTGTGGCTGGCAAGAGGGGAAGCGATGAGGCAGCGCGCTGGGCCCGGCCTGGCCCGGTGTCCTCTCACCAGGTCCGACCATATAGCAAGGTGGAGCAAGACATGGTGCCATAGTCCGAGCCCGAGGAGTTCAGGTGGGACAGGCTGGAGACCTGGCCCTGAAGCGCCGCGGGGCTGGCGGCGTGGTGCGCCAGGTCCGGAGACTGGCCAGCGCTGCCGGGCTGGTGGCCCGGGTGTGCACCCAGGCCAGGGCCCCCGCTGCCCACTGAGATAGCCGCCGCGGCCGCCTGAGCAGCCTGCGCCTGCTGCTGCGCCTGCTGTTGCGCGTGGCCTTGAAGGCTGCCGGCACCAGGCGCGGGGGCGCCTGCCTGGCAGGGTTTGCCGTCTTTCACCAGGACCGGCACTGCCACGCGGCGCGGCGACTGTTGCTGCGCCTGCTGCTGCTGCGGGCACCCGGCGCCCCCGCCGCCGCCGCCGCTGTCCTGCTGCAGTTGCTGCTGTGCCGCCTTGTCCTTGGCTTGGCGCTTCATCTTGTAGCGGTGGTTCTGGAACCAGATCTTGACCTGCGTGGGTGTCAGGTGGATCATGCTCGCCAGGTGCTCCCGCTCGGGCGCCGACAGGTACTTCTGTTGCTTGAAGCGTCGCTCCAGCTCGTACACCTGAGCCTGGGAGAAGAGCACCCGGCGCTTCCGGCGTGGTGCGCTTGGCAGCGGGGCCATGTTCTTGCTCACGTCCCCCAACGAGCCCAGGCCGCCCATGCCGCTCATGTTCATGCCGCTCGCCGGGCTCATGAAGCGGGAGACTGTAGGCGACAAACGCACAGCGTCGGCGGGGGCCGGGCCGGGCCAGGCCACCTCTGCCTTCCGCGGCCTTGGCCGGCCCTGCCCACCCCGACGGCTCCCTCCTCACCTACGTTGCCTCCGCCGTAAGAGGCCTAGATGTCAGGATGGCTAGAGCCTGCCCCAGGCCTTGCCCGTCGAGGGATTTACTGGAAAGCTCCCCACCTCAACCCGGGTTGCCTCCCTCAGGCTCAGTGCTCCAGCCCAAAAGCAAAGTGGAGAAAGACCGCTTCTGTTCCTTTCGTGGCCAACCCCGTCCCGAGTCGTGGCGTTATCGGGCCACAGGCGGCGAACTGGGCCCACACCAAAAGCTGGGGTCCCACGGTAGACCCCAACTTTGGGAGCATAGGAGAGTGGAGTCTTCACTTTGAAAGCTAGGGCCCCAGACGCTTTGCCTCTTGGCCGCTCTCTCCTGTCAACCCCAGTGAGGGCACTTGCTCGGCCCATTTGCAGCCCCCTCTGGAGCCGCGCGCGCCCTTCCACCTGCCCAGACTGGGGAGCCAGCCGGGGCCGGACGCCTGAGCGCGTCGCAGTAGGGCAGCCTCTGGCCCGGCCAGGCCGCGCCTCTCTGCTCCCTGCGTGCCCCCAGCTCCCTTAGGGTTGTGTTTTTTTTTTTTTTTTTTTTTGTCTTTGCTGAGGTGGGGGCGCTCCCTCGGCACCGTGAGGTCTCCTGCGCGGAGCAGAGCTCCCAGTCGGCCGCATCTGGGAGACGCCGAATACTAGCACCTGCCCGCAGGACCTCAGCGTTACCAGTGTCTCTTCTGGGACACCTCAATCCAGCAGGGGGAAGAATCCCCAGCTCCCGCACCCTACGCCCTGGCGCGGCTGCCGGGACGCCCACCCTGACGCCCAGTGCGCAGCTGGCGGGAGCCGCGCCTTCTGCGCTGCTCTCCCCGCGCCTCCCGTACTCAGCCCGCGGCCCGGCGGTGGGGCGGCCTCACTTACTGGCGGGGAAGCGCGGGTCTGGGTTGGCGCCGTACCATCCGGGGCCCGAGGCGCTGTTCCGCATGGTGTCCTGGTACGGCGGCAGCTCACTCATGTTGCCCAGGTTGCCGTTGCAGTAGCCCCCCACGGCGGAGTGCGAGAGCTGGGGCACCCCTGCCGCCGTCATGTGGTAGGCGGCGGTGACGGCGCCGTGGTGCCCCACGGCGTGCTGCTGCATGGCCGCGGCCGGCGGAGCCGCCTGGCCCTGCCTGTAAGCCGCCAGCGGAGCCCCGAGGCCGCCGCCCTCCATGCCCACTTTCTTGTAGCTTTCCTCCAGGGGACTCAAGATGTCAGACACTGAGAACGGAGTCGTGTGCTTTGGACTCATCGACATGATTCGGCGGCGGCTGGAGGAGGAAGGAAGAGGAGGAAAAAAAAGGGAGAGGGGGAAGGCGAAGGCTCGCTGCTTTTTTTTTCCTCCCTTTGCCAAATATTCTGGTGTTACCTTAACGCCGATCTTGTTGGATGTACACGTAACCGAGTGGACCGAGTCCGCCTTAATTGGCTTGAGTGGAGGCTCGGGGGCTGCCTCGCGTTTGTTTTAGCCCGGCGCCAGGTTTTAGGCAGCCACCAGAGGCGGGGCGTAAGCGCTAAAGCAACAAGACAATAGAAGCCTACATCTTGCCCGAGATAATTAGCTTACATGCTGATGACAAGGTAAACACCTTTAAGTTTCACTTGTCAGGATTTTTAGGTCTCAAAGAGGGAGAGAGAGAGAGAGAGAGAGAGAGGCAGAGACACGACCCAAAGCATTTCTTTCCCCCTCCCCCGGACACCCCCACTCCATTTTTTGTGGGGTGCGGGAGGCGCGCGGGGGGGTGGGAGACAGGGGAGGGAAAGGAGGAGGGAACCGAGAGAGGGGAGGGCGAGAGGTGGGGTGAGGAGTAGCCGAGGAGGAGGGATGGTGGGGAGGAAGGAAGGTGAATGCTGCTTTGCAACCAACTTTCGGAGTTACAAAGTGAACCACTTTCCAATATAGTCGGGGTTCCCGGGCGGGGACAAGTCTTTACAGGGAGGGGTCCAAGGGACAGGGTAGGGGTTTCACCTGAGCCTGCTGGGGCTGCTCCTCCCTCCCGCCGCGGCCTCCCAGCCCCGCGCCTTCCCACCGCCTCCGGACCACATCGGGCTTCGCGGCGCCGAGCGCCAGTCGCCACCAAACGAGCTCGCGAGTCTGGGGACGAACCCTGGGGCCGCACTGTTGTTCTGCGTGTCTGTCCGTCTGTCTGCCTCTTCTGCCGCCGTCAGAGGGACACCTCTGCTCCCCGCCCCCTTTCCCCCTACCCGAGAGAGAATCCCAGCGGGCGGAGGGGACGCTGAGCAGGGGGTCGGCTGCCTCGGAGAGGCTGTCCCAGATCCCCGCGCCCCCTCCCCCCAGCTCAGGGTCTTCTCGGCGGTCCAGGGCCCCCTGCATCACGCCCCCCCCAGACCCACCCGCGGCTCCCTTTCCCCACCCCCATTCCTGGCCAAGGCAAGCACACTACTGGCCGCCAGAGCTGGGAAGCTGGGGGGCACTAACCCGAAGGGCCACTGCTGAAGTTGCCCCACCTCGAACAAACCTGGTGTCCCCGACCCTCGCCCATCGCCCGGACACGCGGGGTTCTGGGGCTGGAGCTGACTTTCCGAGGACATCACAGCCCCAGCACCCGAGCCCGGGGCCACGCTGTTTTCCCCTTTGATGCTTCAGGGAGGGCGCGGGCAGGGAGCGTCGTGAGCACCCGCCCGCCTGTTGCCGGGCGGGACTGAGCCTGAACCCCGGCGGGCCCAGCTGGCCGGGAGGGGGCGAATCCCGAGGCGCGAGCAGCCCAGCAGGCGGGAGGCTGGGCTGAGGCTCGCCTCCGCCCGGAGCTCAGCCATGCAAAAGTGCACTTGCTTCCCCGGGAATAACCAAATATCTTTGTTTAAAGTGGCGGCGTAAATGGCCAGTCGCTTTGTGGCCACGCTGGATATTAGTAGATGAGGATCATTCTGCTTCAATTGGGCGCCTCTCATCCGGCGAGCAAGAAACTGCTTAGGAGGAAGTGGGTTTCCTGTCTGCGCGTTCCCAGGCTTCAAGTGTGAGCCCCGCGCCTTGAGGGTCCTTGGGCGCCTGGAGAGGGGGAGCTGTGGGCTTTCTCTCCCCAGCCGGACCAGAGGCATCGACCTTGCTGCTCCGGCCAGGCCCCGGCCTCCAGCCCAGTGGACTACAGTGTCGAGCCCCGTGTGGCACAGATCCCGAGACCCATTCCGACTTTCCCCCCTTAGATTCTAAACGTTTTGTCGTTGTTTTAGTTTGGTTTTTCTTTGGCTCTTTTAGCCTCCTCTCTAGCTAGAGGCTGGGAGGGTGGAAAGCTCCTTGTCCGGGCTGGGGCCTCCAAGACACTGCGGGGGCCGGTGAAGGAGGCTTCTCAAATTTGTTTTTTTGTTTTCACATGTTCTTTCCCCTCCTTTGAGAGAAGGAGCTCCCAATGATGAACAGGCACTTTTGAACGATTTAATTCAGCAGGTTGGGCGCCTATTCCATTAACAGCGATTGTAGTAAGGAAACTTGTTTTGTTTATTGGCTTTTTAGCGTTTTAGTTCTCTTCTTGAGAAGTGCTCTGTACGCCCTCAATACAAAGCCAACTTCCATACTAACATTCAGTTTCCTCACCACCTACGTCGCTTACGAAGGGTGAGAAAGCCCAGGGCACCCCTTTCCTCCTGCATGGGCCCACGTTTTTGCGTAGCTCCCCTGGCGGCTTTGCGGCAGGTAACCCCGCATTCGGGTGCCGAGACGTGCTTGTCGGTTGTACTGCGAAAGATCAGCGCCAAGCCGGTTCCTTGCACTTCTTCCAAGGGGCTTCTCTGGGCGGGGGCGGGGAGAGGCGCTCTCAGGAAGGCTCAGACTCCGTCAACTGCGCGTTGATCTCTGTGATGTCTAAGCCCAGGGAGCAAGGAGGGAAGACGACGCTGGGCTCAAATGAACCGTCGAGGAGAGCAGACAAAACTGAATTACAGATCTTGTCTGCAGGCGGCCCAGAATCTCGGGCTTTTGTTTAGAGTGGGGTCTTATTGCCAAGGCGGGGTGGGTTTCCCAGTCACCCGTCTTCTTTCTCCCTTTCCCTCTCCATTATTTCACATTACTGGTAAGCATAAGAAACACCAAGTATAGAATGGTGTACTCTCTCCCAGTCTCAATGCCGTTTATAAATGAAGGTAATTCTTCACAAGGTTTCTCTGAGATTCAAATAAGATCGGGCACATAAAAGCTCTTCAAAAGCTATATAAAATTTTTCATTTCATTGCCAGAGCTCCAGATTCCTGTTTTGTCTTTAGCACACACCCCCACCCTGCCCTGCCTTTAGGCCTTGAATCTGAGTGAAGAGGAGAGTTGGATGCATCTTCCACAGTCTCTGAGCCTGGGCCTTCGTCCCTCGGCAGCTTTGCAGTCCCGCAGCAGGCTCTGGCGCAGGTGGCTAGCAGCAACACCCCCCCCCTCCCCGCTCAGGCTTGCAGACTGGACCTCAACCCCCAGCCATGCAACAGGCATTGACTCTCTACACTGAGCTGGAGCTGGAGCTGGACCCGGGGGAGGGGGGGAATGGGGGGGATGGGACCAGGGGGCAGTGGCTGGCCCTGGGTGCTGCTCTGCCCTTCCCCCCAACCAAGATTATGCCGCACCTCCCCTGCACGGGCACACACCAGCAGTAGCTCTGGACTAGACCCTTTGCACTACCTTGCATCTCCCACTCCCCTCCCCCGTACATCTTCTACCTTTGCCCCTTACACAGACACACACAGTGCCCCACACTCTCTGCCAGTTGTGCTGCACTGCCAAGAATAAGCCTGAGGGACTAAGACGTCTAGCGGAGGGAAAAGGCAAATATCTCTATCTCTGAGCTTGCCAGACCAAAGGCCTTGAGAGTCTGTCCCTGGGCCCCAACACCTCTTCCTAACTCAGGAGTGTCCTTTCTTTTAGCTACCTCCCAGATTCATATTAAGTAGGGTGACCCAAGTTAAACTAGTAATTTCTTCATGGCTGCAGGGAATACTTGGGAACTCCGAGTACCCCTCTGTATGTCCCCGAGTCTTCAGTAACTCTCGCGGGCAGAGTGGGCACAGTGGAGCCCATTTCGGGCTCTCAAGGAGTTTTCCCCTGTGGGGCCGCACACACCCACCTCAACCCCGGCCACACTGCTTTCCTCTCTGCAGCTTGGCTTGGAATCTAAGGAGCCCGGGAGGCTCAGGCTCAGGTCCAGGCAGGGCGAGGACCGTGGAACTGCCATCAACCTTTGCTCACCATCCTTATGGCTGGAGAGAAATGCCTTTCTGTCCATCTAGAGTCACTTCTTTGAGAATTTAGGATGGAGGGCTATATGATTCTAAGTCTGTAGCTTGAACCGCGAGGGAAATGAAAAGTCCTTCCCAGTCCTCAGCGCCACATTTTTCTAATTCTCTTCCTGGTCCTTCACCCCTCTCTTAGCTCGGTGAGCGGCCATGTTCCCTTCCGGTGTTATTTTGCTCCGAGTTTTATCGCAATTCGTGATTTATTCAACAAATATTTATTGAGTACTGGCTCTGTGCAAGGCTCTGTGGTAGGCCTAAAAATTCAGCTTTAAACAAGCTAGATGTGGCTTCTACCCACACAGAGCTTATAAAGTAACAATAAATGACCCAAATAATATGTATGTAGTTATTTTGTGACAATGTTACTCTGGGACCCAACCAAGATAGAAAGGGTTTTGATGAAGGGGCGTGTGTGTGTGTGTGTGTAGGTGTGTAGGGCAGAGTGGGGAGCGCTCTTCACCATATCTGATCTTAAAGTGTTTAGGGGTCATAGCCAGAGCATTTGAGTACAAGTCAGAAGTCCTGGGACTCTAGCCGTGGCTTTGCCACCTTTCAGCTCTGTGGTATAGTTCTCATTGACTCTCACCACACCCTGAAGCCGCTCTCCTCACAGCCTGAGTAACCTAAGGTGTTGTCTATTGGCCTCCCTTATTTATGGTGAGATCCGATTTTATTTACCCTTGAATTTTCAAGTGTCTCAAGAAATGTTGAATTAAGGAAACAAAGCCTCTTAGCACCTGATTCCTGAACGGCCAAAAAAAAAAAAAAAAGTCATAATCTCCCCTTGTGTGCCTCCCAGGTTGTACTAGGGATCCAAGTATTTAAGGATGAAATCCTGTGCATGAGTTTGTAAAGCATGAAAATCGCTAGCAAATGAAAGGGGTTATAACTTATAATTCTGTATCTTGAATTTATAGAAACTATGAATCAAGGCTTCTAACTCTGCGTGAAGCTCTCTAGGCCCTTGATTGTTCCTGCGCCCAGACCCCCGTGGGCGAGCTTTCCTCAGCCAGGAGCAGGCTCCCGAGGCTGGCTGAGCTGGGTTCTCGGTGCCGTCGAGGCAACGACACCCAGGAAGAGAAAGCAGCAACTCAGCCAGGCGCGGGGGGTCGCTGCTCCCCAATCCTGAGATCCAAGGAACAGAGAATCCGGAGCCCCCTCTGGAGGGCGTCTTTCTTTCCTTGAAGGATCTCACCGGAACCCCTTGAGGCTTTTTCCCAGGCGACAATTGAGAGCCTCTGGGAGATCTGTGCGAAGAAGGGTTGGGTGTGTGTGCGCTGTAGTAGGAGGGCTTTCCCGAGGAGGCTTTTGCAGACACTGTTCTGTCTTGGAGGAACACATTCGGAGCTAAGGCGAGCTCCTACTGCTCCCTGTCTGGACTTGAGCGTCTAGGGTCTTCGAGGGCCGCCTTCCTTTCCTGAAGCCGTGGCTTCAGCGCAGGCCCTGGCGGGGGAGGGGGCGGGGGAGGGGAGAGGGGAGGCTACGCTAGGATATCTGAGAGCAGCCCCAGTGTCACCCTCTCCCTGCACTGGCGGAGTCCGCCCAGAGAGGAGAGTCCATCCTCCGGCCTTTGGTGTCAAAGAATCTTTTCCTCTGTCAGGTCAAATCTTCCAAGAGCTTAACACCTGTGGTCTCAGAACTTACCTATTTTCATGTCACACGGTTCAAGCCTAATTCATCTTGTCCCAAGGTACAGTCAGAGCCCCTATAGTCAAGGCGCCCCCTGGCGGGAAGAGATCTTGGGTAGCAGCGACTTCGGGGGCTGGGTTACAAAGTTGAGAAAAGGAGGAAATTGAGTGCTAGCAGCATCCTTGGAA